TGGTAGATATGTAAATAAACGGGTTGACACCACTTGGTGCCTGTTAATATGATTCATACTTTTACTTTTAAAAGCAAATCTAACATATTAAGGAAAGACGTCTTAACTTTGTATCTGTGTGGTATTTGAGTTTAGATTAACATTTTAACAAGCTCCCTGCCTTTTACAGATCTAACTTCCAATTCATCTGGCCTTGGGAAGAGTGGGCTTATGTTTTAGATCTCCCAAAATGGGCCCCACAACGTGTATTTGTTCAAGAGGTTCTGGAGAGAGAAGTTCGACTGTCATACTGGGACAAAGTTAAGCAGGTAGAAACATTTTATAAAACTGTTGTATCGTCTATGATTAATGATTTTGCTAGCTTATTGTTTTATGGTTCCTTGAAGTTGTGCCAGTGAGCTAGTCTGTCACTTTCTTGCCCGTATATAAATAACTTGATTTTGTTTCTTTGAAAAAAACAACTTTTGTTTCTGTAGAACTTGTTCACCATAGGATTACTTTTTACAAAACCTATTTTCTTGAGTTTTCTACTTTGTTGGTTTCTCTCAGAAGAGATTAAATTACTTACTGGTCTTGCCTTGGTACACACATCACAAAGCATATTTACCTTGAATGGTAAAAGTAGACACACGACGACTAATTTTAAACATTAATTTCATAACTTTATTGATTCAATGGTATAAGTAAATGAAGTCCATTTTAAAGTTATTAGACAAGAAATTAAGATGTCAACACATCCTACTTCTAAACCATATTGTCATCCATGCTGTTCATTGTGAATTATCAAGATCAATGTCTTTTTGAGAAGCTGGCTCGGAAATACTGTTTCAAAATCTATCTGGTAACTTATTTGTACTAGACGGTGATTAAAAATTGGCTTTTCTCTGCATTTTCTTTTTCATAGTTTTCATTGTCAGTCTTTTGTTTTTCTTTTTCTAATAGAAAATAAGTATTATGAAGAGGATTTGAAATGTATAATGGAGGAGGACCAAATTTCCTTTTCTTTTGCATTTTCTTTGTCAATTTTTTTTTTATTTATTTTGATATAAAAAGAAGTATTATGCAGAATGGAAGTGTATAATGGATTTCCTTTTCTTTTCAGTCTACTTCATAATACTTCATTTTCTGTCATAATACTTCTTTTTATTTAAAAACAAAATACATCTTTTTCTATTAAAAAAACTGACTATGAAAACTATGGAAAGAAAATGCAATCGAAAACCAATTTTTATAGAGGATAAATGTCCTCCCAAAAAAAAGAAAAAAAAGGGCAAGAGGAGAAAAAAAACAACTCTATAAAGAACAGCTATTAAAAAAGGCAAGGGTAGAGATGTTTTTGTGGTGGTTGGGAAAACCAATTTTTATAGATGATAAATGTCCTCCCAAACCAACTCATTGTTCTTGTGTTGCATAGAATTATAGAAACATTGATCAAAGCAGTAGAGATGTTTTTGTGGTGGTTAGGAACTCTCAAGTTGTTTTCTCCAATCACGTGGAAAAATGAAAAGTAAAAGTTTAGGCTTCGGGCAGTTGAATGAACTTAGAGATTTAGCAGTCTCAATTCGAATTTGGGATAGTCTTCAATGGCAGCATGATGTTACCTTGTAAAAGTATTTTGGTATTCACTTATTTCTATTTCTTTCTAACTTCTGTGCTGTAGTCTTGGTGCCTTGATTGATATTTTCTTTTTCATATTAGAAAAAAAAATCTTTTTTTAATTGTATTTGTACATGTAGAGTGTTGAGAATGCTCCTGCTTTAGAGGAGCTGCTTCCCCCAAAGGGCAGTCCAAACTTCCAGTACGCTGTGGAGGATGATAAAGAGAAAACTGAACAGCATGCACTCTCTGCAGAGCTCAACAACAAGGTGAAAGGAAGGCAAACTGCACGTGAAATGACAGTGTGGATAGAGGAAAATTTATATCCTGTCCATGGCCCAGAAGTTACCCTCAAAGTAGTAGTGCAAACTCTCCTTGACATTGGGTCTAAAAGTTTCACCCATTTGATCACTGTTTTGGAGAGGTATGGGCAAGTCATTGCAAAAATATGTGTTGATATTGATAAACAGGTTATGTTAATAGCTGAAGTGAGTTCTTACTGGAAGAACAATGCCCAAATGACGGCCATAACAATTGATAGAATGATGGGTTATCGGCTTCTATCCAATTTAGCAATTGTTAAGTGGGTCTTCTCTCCAGAAAATATAGGGCAATTTCACACTTCGGATCATCCATGGGAGGTAAGTTCACACAATTCTTACTCTTTCCTTCTTATTATTCACCTTTAGAAATGAGGAAACCTTCATATAGATTTTCAGAGTTTACATGCTTTTTTTTTGAGATAAAAGTAGGAGAAAATATATTAAAGGTAGAGTGCCAAGGGGGCGCAAGTCATGTACAAAGATAGAGAAGAATTTACAGATCTGTAATAATATCTTTACATGCTTTTTTTTTTAATGTTAAACATGTTGATTCAACTTGAAAACTGAATGGAAGAGGATTAACTTCAAATTTGAGGACCACCTTTAATCTTAGACAAATATTTATTCTTATCTGCATGATCAGTGTTGAGATTCTTGGCTTGTAAAATGATCTGTGGAAGGTTTGTTGCAGACATGGGTGAAGTATTTGCCAAGTTTGAATGCCATCCTTTTCTACAAGCTTGTTTCCCTTGTTGCTTTTTTCAATCCACTTTTCCTGGAACCCGAAGCTGTCCCCATAGTTTCTTTATATTTTAATTATTGTTCACAATGAATATTTTTTCACATTTTAAAGTTTTTAACTTATTATTTTCCTCATTTCTTATCTACTTTAACAGATTCTTAGGAATGCTGTTAGCAAAACACACAACCGAATCTGTGATCTAAGGAAAGAGATAGCAACTCTCAAAAAGAGCATCTTATCAGCTGAAGAAGTTGCTGCCAAGGCAAAAGCAGAGTTAGAGGCTGCAGAGTCAAAGCTTACTCTGGTGGAAGGTGAACCCGTTCTCGGTGAGAACCCTGCTCGGATGAAACGATTGAAATCACACGCTGAAAAGGCAAAGGAAGAGGAGGTGTCCATGCGAGACTCTTTAGAGGCCAAGGAAGCTCTTCTTTCTAGAGCTGTCGATGAGAATGAGGTATCAATCTAAGATCTTTCTCTGACCTTTCTTACTTTTCCTCTGTCATCATGGTGATTCATTTGTATTTTAATATATGTAGTACATGAGTAAGTAGTGTCGTTTCAGAGAGCCTTATGATAGTTCTCGATCTTAGCTTATTTAAGTCAGGCAGTTATCAGTGACTATGTTCTTTATGTATTTATGTACTGAATGGTATTTGATTAATGCATGTGCTGGTTGTTATGTTGTTTTTTGATAATGAGAATCATATGTTTTTTCTTCCTCTGCAGCTTACAGTCTCTGTGTTATATCTACTGTTATTGTTATGAACAGGTCTTGTTTGTCTCTTTGTACAAAAATTTCTCCTTTATCTTCATGGAACGCCTTCCAGATCCATCTACAGCAGGAACACTGAAAGCATTAAAGTCTATTCAGGCTGATTCCATGGCTGTGGACCTTGAAGAATCTTCAGCAATGGAGGTTGATAATGAGAATGGAATGCCTAAAAAAAGGTAATCCAATTCCCCTTTATCCAACCTTTGTTTTTTTCCTTGTCATCATGTTCTTTTTTTTTCTTTTAACATCAAGGCCTATAGGCCTTAACTGTGTTGTTTTTCTGTGACCATCGGCAGTCAGTCAAATGGTGGAAGGGCTAGCAATCTCTATAATATAGGTGAAAAAGAGCAGTGGTGTTTGTCAACACTAGGCTACGTCAAGGCATTTTCAAGGCAATATGCTTCTGAGGTATATGTAGTTCACAGGTTTCTGACTCGTTCATATATGTTCCCATCTTTACCATGATTTCCGTTTTTTCAAAGTTTTGGGCTCTTGAAATATGTCTCTGCTGGATGTAATTTATCTCCTTATGCCTGTTTAGCATTAAAAAGTATGTAAACGGGCAAATAACTGCTCAGTTTAAAACTTGGATACACATTTCTTTAAAGCTTAATGCCTGCCTGTTCGCGTTCCAGTTCCATCTGGTTCTGCAATGGTTTCCTTTCCCAGCATCCTCAATTTCTCTCGTTGTCCTGCTGCTTGCGGTCATTTACAGTATCACGTACCTTTTCCATCCTATCTTCATTCTTATATTCTTACTAAAGTCTAGACCCACTTTTGTGACAATGCTGCAGTGACCAGTGATCTGATGGGTGAGCAGGGCAATTAGTGGGGCTAGATGATTTTTGTTTTGAAAAAAAAGGTATAAGGTGTCATTAGTTGGGCTAGATGATAAACTGGGGTTGCGGCATTTAACTAGAAAGAGAATTATTTCTTTTATGAAAAATCAATATGCTAGATATTGTGTTTATGGATATTGGTAATAGATACCTTAGTTATCTCTGCATTCCTGATTAACAGGAGAATGGAATAGTTAAAGATTTGTAAGAGAATAGGTTAATCTTATCTTTATGTTTGGCGCATGCAAGATTTAGAGTAGGATAAGATGCTTTTTCTGTTCACAGGATAGGATAAGAAAAGTCATTTTTCTTCTGCAAGATGTCTATTCAGGTACTAGGAGGATTATCTGTCTCTGAATCCCGCCCTTCTTATAATGAATGTCAAAGATATATTAGATTAACATTATTCTATTCATCTCTTCGTCAAACACACAAAATACATTCTTAATTCTATAACCTGGAACATCTGTTATTCCAGACAAATTCAGTAATGTTAATTTTACTATTTATATTTGGATCATTTGTTTGTTGCAATGATAAGAGTAAATTGGATTTTGCTGTTATCAAGGACAAATGGCTAAATCTTTTTGGGTATATTGTACTTGATCACAACCTTGATAGCATTGTTGATTTAGGATCTAATGTAGACATACTTATTGATCTGTAAATTTTTTGTACATGGTGGCATCCACTTGGTGCCTACTTTCAAAACATCTTGTACTTATATTTAAAAAAAAAATGAGTAAACTAAAATTCTATTCTTGGTGATATTGAACAATATAACTCACTGTTTTTTAATAATCTTAGTTTGGTTAATTATTTTTCTTTTATCTCGATGACAAATATGATTGTGCTTTCTATCCAATAAGTGTCGTATTCTTCTTACTCACTGAGTTAACAATGTGTTGTTGCAGATATGGCATCACATTGAAAAATTGGATGCAGAGGTATTCATTGAAAACATACATCCTCTGTTCCGGAAAGCAGTTTATTCTGGCTTGCGGCAGCCAATCAATGAGGTTTGATTCGTCCGATTCTGTTGTAACACAATATTTTTTTTAACCCTTAGTCTGTTAATGTAAATGAGGCAAGTAGGTGGACCAGCAGGAACTTCAAGTCCAGCTGTCAAGTCCATGACCGGACATTTGTTTCATTATTTGGTTAAAGGCTTAGTGAAAATTAAATACCGATCATTGAAATTGGCAGCTTGGATCCTTGTTGATTTGGGTTTCTTCTTAGTTGGAGAATGCCATTAATTTTGCTATTTGTTTTAGTTCTTTATTAAAAGTATGATTAGGTTTTCTAATCATTTTATTTTGTTTTCAGAACAATGTTTTCAGAAACAAGATCTTAAAACTGTTTTGTTATTTTTATTACGAACGTATTTGGGTAGCTTTGAATTTTATACTTAAAATTTCTAAATACTTGGCATTGTGGTAGTCCATTTGACTGAATGTACTTCAATTTTAAACGTTTTTATGTTATATTTTTAAGATTAAAAAACCAAAAGGTCAGAGCATGTGAAAAACAGTAGAAAACATGCTTCTTAAGTTAGTTTCGAAAGACAGAATCTTGTTGTAAGAATCAGCAGACAGAAGGAAACAAATGTCAAATGCTAGCTACCTTAAATCTGTTGGTTCTTGAACTGACAACAAACACTTTCGGATAATCTTTATTCTGAACTCAGTCGGTGCTGTTGAAGACGATTTTTTTGTATGAATTACATATACGAGATGAGTTTGTGTGTGTCTATGGTACTCCCAACTCAGTGATCCCATTATCCCGTAGTCATTCTTGTTTCGCACCCTTACAGGTGCAATTATGCAGGATTTGATTTAAACATCGTTTCATAAAATGGTAAGTTGCTAAATATGGCTTGTAAGTCAGGGTCTTGTGTTGCTCAGGCTCCAAATGGATACATTTACCAAACTTGTTAGAAACTTGATCACGTTTTCTCCTTACACAAATTGCCTGTATTTTTGTACTGAGGCATGTGGACCATGTGGTTAGAGACAATACTCATCATGACTTCGATGATTTCTCATATGCATTCAATTCAATATGTGTTTTTAGGCCTGCAATGGCATCAGTCCACAGCAAGTAGTTAGGGTTAGATTTGTGTTGATTTAGCAAAAACAAACAGGGCCTTTCCCCACCTTAGTTAGGGTGAGATTTTAATCCTTAGCTTTTATCTTACGTTTAAAAAAAGTTAAAGAGAGATAGACAGAGACTAGCAGGACCTCAAAAGAAGAGTGGAAGACCCACTTGTGTGCCTCAAAGATCCAACAAAATTGAAAAGGGAAAATTGTACCTGTTACTTAGGCTATCGCTACTTTTCTTCTTCTACGGGCAAATAATAACCAATTCATGTTTCTTATCCTGCCCACCGACTATGCCTCACGTGTAGCTCGGTTAAAGACCCTCGTGGAGTTGAAGCTTTGTGCCACCAAAACAGAATATCGAGTTTATTTGAATGTCTTCTTGTTTTGAATCCTATTTCATAGAAGACACACTTCTGTAAGTAATAAGGAAGCACATTACTTAACTAAAATTCAGGTGTGTGTTCGTTCTAATTTCTATTTATGCTCTCAGAACTCTCTCTCAAATGACTAAATATATTTACTGTATTCGCTGAGTTATGCTTGCTTAGAAAAAGAAGATTCCTCTTGAATCAATTTTATGTACTTAGATCAAATTTTTCGCTCAAAAATTACATAGATGCAATCTATTATACTGATTACATCAGACTGTATTTAAGATTTTATCATTATTATGTTATTTCCAAAAACGTTTTAACGCCGGAAAAAAGTATCGATACTTGTTAACTCCATTAATTTCACTCATTGAGTTGATCTTAGAAGTTGGATATTATTAGGGCCGAGAGGTACGAAATGAATTTAAAAATGGAGAGATACAAGTGCTTGGGAAGTTTTATCAGAATTCTGATCCTTTTACTGCTTCGGTTCAAATCTTAATGCCATTCAAACCTACAACTGTTCAATAGCCTACATATATGTATATATATGTATGTAAAGTGAGTTTGCTAAGCCAGAAAATTTGAGAAAGATTCTAAAGAGATTTGACAAAATGCTTGAGAACAAAAAAAGACATTTATGTTGTTATATGTTTATACGTGCGTATGTACAATATTCTTATAGCCATTTCTTGACATGTCTCGGTTAGACCATTCTTCTTGGTCACTCTGTATTCTCTTGATTTTGGTATATATTTGGTCTGTTGGCTACTTTTATGTAAAAATAAAAATGTGTTTGATCACCTGACATTAAAAGGACAAAATTAATTAGAACATTAAGAAAAGCTTAAATCGATCGATATAATTTTTTATAAGAATATGTTTTGAGCTTGATTTATTATTCATTTTCAAGTTTTAATTATAATTATTCATTAATATTAATATACAAAATTAAAATATAATATTTTGAATTATCACCGTTCGTGCATTATATAGATTTTGACCTTCGTGTTTAAAAAATAAATAAATAACGGTTTAAACTCAAACAAACTTTGATCATATACTATAAAATTAATATAAAGATATAATTGTATAATGAATAATATGAAATAGAAATAAACAAAAGTAAAGTTGGCTCAATAAAGTAGAGAGAAGAATTACAAAAAGTATGGAGAGTGTTTATTTTATAAAAATATTACAAAGTGGGATAAAATGTTGCCCATTAAATTATGCTTTATACGTTTTCAAGATTTAATTTATGATATTAAACTAAAGATGGATTGAATAATGTCAAACATAATATTAATTTCACATTCAACACGAGAGTTGCATTTCAATCAATTTTTTAATTTTATGTTTATTTTATAATAAATTAAAAACTCGAATCAGTCTAAACATTTTTACATATTATATTATTGGTAAAAATTTATAGTTACTATAAATTTATACGAGTTATATAATTAATAAAATATTTATATTTTTTTATACTAAAAATGATTTATTATTATAAAATATCAAATAATTATTACATAAAATATAGTATATTCAAGACATTACATTTATTTTCAAATAAAAATGAAAGCCAAAAAAAAAAAATCACATTATTTATTAACAGAAAAACATTTTACATTTTTATGAAATGAAAATTTCATTTAAAAATAGAAGGAATTATAGTCACTAATTGGATTCATAATTTTAGGTCGAGGTTCAATTCACCCATGAATTGGATTTTGGATATATAGTTATAGCCCATTTTTTGGTTGACCATTTTTTAATGAATTCCCACCTAAAAAATTACATAAATATACATATATGGTAGCATATACACACGTGTGTGTGTATATATATATATATATATTTATATATTTATATATATAGCCACAACCAGAAGCACTAACAAACATTCACCCATATAAAAAAATCAAGTCAACCAACACGTACGGGAAAAATCAATCTTATTTATAATAATAATAATTAAGTTACTTAAAATTGCTATTTAATTATTAAATTTAGTGCAAATTACAATTTTATTGATTTAGGTTATTAGAATTTTTACATTTTGAGCATTCTTTGCCCAATAGTTAAATATATTATTATCATTTTGGTAATTCCATTATGTTCTAATATTTTTAATTTCTGTTTTTATGGTTTTTTGATTTATTAAAACTAGAATTTTAATATATATCCAATGAAATTTAAGATAAAATACCAAAAAAAAAATAATAATAGAAATTTAAATAAAAATTACGTTATAGTTGTAAGTTAATTATATTTAAAATTTATTATTGTAATTTTAAAGCTTAGCAAGTGGGAAAGGAAGTATATGGAATTAAATATAATTACATACCAAATATTAAATTATTAATAATTAGTATTTAGAGAACATGTAAAAAATAGAATGTGTTTGAATTAATTGTAAAGCAAAAAATTTATGTGAAATAAAAAAAAATTAAAACAAACGAAATATCAAAGTTTTATTAACAAATAAAGAGTTTTAAATAAATGTGATAAAACTAAATTAGGAAGAGAAAAATTGAACTTTATCAACAAATTTATTATGGGAGTATACATACAGTGTATATATATATATATAGATTAATATGGTGTGAATTTAAATAATTTATCATAATTTTTTTATCAAAATAAAAATAATTAAGTTAAAAGATTTGAGAAACTTTTTTTTTTTTTTTTATAAATAAAACAAAGATATGAAATTAGTGAAATATTAATATATAAAATAATAATGGAAAATATAATGAGATTAGCGAAATATTAATTATTAATTAATTAGAATAATAATAAATATTAATGAAATATTTAAGGGAAAAAAAATATATTTTTTCTAAGACGAGAGAGAAAAGTCCAAATTTCGGCACTTTCCCTTCTTCAGTTTGTTTTGAGAGAGAGAGAGAGAGAGAGAGAGAGAGAGAGAGAGAGAGAGAGAGAGAGGAAACATCACGCATTTTGCCCCTTCTCTGCTCGTTCAAAGCATTTTTAGAGAGAGAAACTCAAGCTTTCTCTCTCTAAAACCTCCCTCAAAAAACCTCTGAATCTTCAGTGAGAAAGTAAAAGAGAACCGTTTTTATCTTTCACTTTATTCCGAGGAATAGTAACAGTGCAGGTCTTATTTTTTAGTGTTTTGTATTTTATTATAAATATATTTTTGCAACGGAAAGCGAACTGAGGAAAGAGAAGAGGGGAGGGAGGAGAACATGGAGTTTGTGGGCAAAACCTTGAAGAAAGAGTTCAAAGGACTCGGTGTTGTATCGGCAACCGTCCGATCATATGATTCATCTACTGGTTTGTTCGAGATCGTCGCCGAGGATGGCCGTTTGGAGGAGCTTGAGTTCTCAGAGGTAGCTTCTCTCGTAATGGAAGGACGGGAAACAGCCGCCGCCGCCGAAGGAGAGCAGCCAGTCCAAGTGAAGCCGCGGGTCGGCCGCAAGCCTAAGAAGCGTCGCCGAGTCGAGAGGAAGCGCGAATCCCCTGGGAATTCAGGTAATGAAGTAGTCCAGGAAAATAATGGACTTGTCGTTTCCACTCATGGAAATTTCGGCATGAATGTGGACTCGAATTATGGTTTAGTGGAGAATTTCGGGGGGAATGATCGTGTTGATTTGAACCGTGGGTTTCAACAAACCCAAGGGATGGAGCGTGAGCCTAGTAGCAGGGATTTGAATGGAAATGTCACCAGTTTGAGAAATGACATTGATTTAAATGCTGGTTTGAATTTGAATTTGAATGATGGGGTTGATTCCGGTGACTGGGTTAACGTAAATGTGGATTATGAGGAAGGTTTTCGTAACAAGAGGAGGGACTATATTGATTTGAATTTGGACGTTAATTGTGATGTGGATGAAGTTGGTGGCTCTATTCTGGATTGCAAGAAGGAATATGGGTTTGATTTGAATTTAGAGGTCGAAGAAGATGTTAATAAGGATGAAGGCCCAGTGAAATCAAATTCTGCTTCACTGGTTGAAGAAATAGGTAAGCAAGATAGAACTTATGTCAAAGATGGTATTGCTAATGGGGAACTCAAGGAAGTTAATGTGGCTGGAGTTTCATGTTTAGGATTGGTCCAAG